TATTGCTGAATCTACGCCATTTAAAGAGTAAACTCAAAACGTTATTTTCTGATGACTCAAGGTCATCATGACGAACACCAAACCTTTTACTGTTCAAGCTAATATGCCAAGGTATTGGCTTACATTTCTGTTCCTCTCCAATTGCCTTATTTCAGCCAAAACTATTTAGACATGGACCTGTGGTTGATCCCACGTTCTCCTTAGATGGTTTTGTAACACCTACTTTTCCTGCACTATTAAAGGTATTTCCCCTTTATATCAGAATCTGGGTGCTGTGCTCTCAGTGGTTAAATTTGTCAGAAGCATACTCTGTAGATAAATGGGGTATTAAAATGTTTTCACTGAGATTGTAGAAACCAAGGTATGTGACGTGGTGAATTAAAAAGGCACCTAAAGTAATGATGTGAAGATAAATTAGCTCATGTAGGAGATCTTTATGAGAAAATCTTTTTTAGTGACAGAAATAGTAAATGTGCTGAAGAAAGAAACCAGGACCCGAGAATTAAATATCATCAATTATAGAAAAGATAGTATGGGAAGATCAGAATTCAATAAATAAAACTTTTTTTTTTAGAAGAAAGTTAATAAATCAAATTCAGTTGAAAATCCATAGCTTTGGATTTTTGGGAAATCCAAAGGAAAATTTGGAAACTCACACCCTTAATATGCTCCTAACTTCACTGGTCTACTTCAATCATTTCAGGGTAAGACTAAGTATGTAAAACCAAAAGCTCCCTCAACTATTATGTATGGCAGAAGTAATTCAAAATTTGTTTCTTGCAATTACCTCAGGAACTGCTGTGGAGATAGAAGAAAGGTGACAGGGCAAGTGGTTCTTGCTTTAGCCTCAATACTGTTGTTTTAGCCTAAGGAGTTCCCTTTTTATAGGCTTTACATGTTAGACTTCTGAATATTATTTTGTTCAAAGGGTTCTACTGATAAAAACGCAAATCTAAATATCACTGATCTAGACCATTAGACCTAGAGTTAATGGGTTGTTCATCGTATTTGAGAAAGCTGTCATCAAATCACATCAGATAGCTACTTTAAGCTACTTTTTTTTTCGGAGGGTCTCACTCTGTCACCCAGGCTGGGGTGCAGTGGCACAATCTTGGCTCACTGCAACCTCCGCCTCCCAGGTTCAAGCGATTCTCATGCCTCGGCCTCCCAAGTAGCTGGGACTACAAGTATGCGCCACCATTCTTGGCTAATTTTTGTATTTTTTAGTACACATGGAGTTTTGCCATGTTGCAAAGGCTGGTCTTGAACTCCTGGCCTCAAGCGATCTACCTGCCTCGGCCTCCCAAAGTGCTAGGATTACAGGTGTGAATTAACAGCCAGATAGCCATTTGTAGCCACTGATTGCTAGAGGAACAGAATGGTGCAGGAACTATGTTGCTGTTGGAATTAAGAAGCTAATACTGCTCTAACTGGGCCATTTACTTTCTCTGGACCTCAAGTACTTTGCTTCTAAGATGAAGGGGTCTTTTTTTACTCAATTTCTAAGGTCCTTAACACATTAAGATACGCTTAATAGATACACAGTCAATAGGGTGGCTGGCCTAGTAAACATGACTTTTAAGAATGCTGTCGTATGATCATTACAATAAATACTACTATTACAAGCATGTCACAGTGTTTTAGTTTAACAAAATGAATAGTAAAAAAGTAGAGTAACTTTTCAGAGATAGGTAAACAAAATATCATATTAACAAACAGTTCCAGGAAACTTGTTAGCACATGTTCTTCTGGTAAGTTTCTAGTTTGGGAATTGGCAGGGCCTGGAGGGCTCATGCCTGTAAATCCCAGCACTTCAGAAGGCTGAGGTGGGCAAATCACCTGAGGTCAGAAGTTTGAGACTAGCCTGGGCAACATGGTGAAACCCTAACTCCACTAAAAATACAAAAATTACCCAGGAGTGGTGGCACATGCCTGTAATTGTAGCTACTCAGGAGGTGGAGGCTGAGGCATAAGAATCACTTGAACCTGGGAGGCGGAGGTTGCAGTGAGCCGAGATCGCACCACTGCACTCCAACCCAGGCCATATAGAACGAGACTCCGTCTCAAAATAAAAATAAAATGAAAAGTTACCAGTCTGGGAATGAAAGGATCAGTTTAGACACTCAAAGACACAGACCTTCAGAAAGTCAAAGTCCAGTATGACCCTTTAAGACAGAAAAAACCTTTATCACCTCATTTGCTCAAATTCATCCAATATTAACCTTAATCCTATTAAGATCCTAGAATTTTGCCTGAGTTTTCTTTTCGTTCTTTTTTTTTTTTTGAGACAGAGTCTCGCTCTGTTGCCCAGGCTGGAGTGCAGTGGGGCGATCTTAGCTCACTGCAAGCTCCGCCTCCTGGGTTCACGCCATTCTCTGCCTCAGCCTCCGAAGTAGCTGGGACTATAGTCGCCCGCTACCGCGCCCAGCTAATTTTTTTTTTAGTAGAGATGGAGTTTCACCGTGTTAGCCAGGATGGTCTCGACCTCCTGACCTTGTGATCCGCCCGCCTCAGCCTCCCAAAGTGCTGGGATTACAGGCGTGAGCTACTGTGCCCGGCCCTTGCCTGAGATTTCTAATTTCCCAATCATCTAATCAGTGTACAAGGTAGGAAAGTATCTCCAGATTCTTAATGCAAATTTCTATTCCTTTAATAACATTCATTCTGTTGAAACAGCATCTGTATCGCTCAGGAACAATTTTAACTGTGTGGTTTGCATGGGTGTTCTGTAATAACATTCTTAATTGTTACACTAGTCCATACAAACTTACGTAGCTCCCCAAGATTCATAATCAAGAAACTGCTGTCATCTGGAGGACATTCCAACATTACAGTGAGCAGTCAATGAGCAGTTACACTAGGACAGGGGAGTCTTATACGCTGGGAACTTTATACTAGACTGCTAATCGGAGAAACCTGAAAGTTTTGCCAGTCCAAAAAAGGTTAAAACAAATGGTTTTTCATTAACGATAAACAGCTGATAATAATGTTAATCTTGGTGCTAACAGAAGGGTTTAACTTTTCCAAAATGAAAAATTTAAATGATTACACAGTAGAAAGTAGTAGTTACAAATTTTTCCTTCTATGCCAGTTTAGGGTTTTCACTTACCCCTCCCAGATCCTTAATGTCCTTTTGCAGTTTTTCAGATATGGTGACAGAAGGTAAGTCAAGGTAAAATACTTTTCCCCAAAGTGGCTTATATTTGGATTTTTCTGGCCTGTTATCAGTTTTCAGAGATTTCAAAGATGGTCTGTTTTTTTCATTTTTGACTTGGATTCCACCTGCTATTAAAGATGTTTAGAATCAGATGTTTTACACAGACACTTGTACTGTTTTTAAAACATTTCATTATACAATATTACAAAATAAAAATCCTTACAATCCTACCAGTTTATTAGCACTGAAATGTATTTCTTTGTAGCACTACTTAGGATGGAGGCAAAATGCTCTATATATTTTCACAGACCGCATATTGTAAAATAATAGTTGACTCAGCAAGAAATATTCTTGTATTTATTCCTGAGGCACGGGACTATATAAAACTCCTTTGAAAGATTTTCTTCTTTAGGATGTAAACTCCATGTGGGTATTTAATACTCAACTACTTATTGAGCATCTGCCATTCTGCTGAACATTCAAAACTGGTGTTTAAACTTCATTTAGCGATGAAAGAATCCTGTTACCCAGAATAACCTAGTCAAGGGTTTCAGACTGCTCAAGTTTTAGTTTCATATAAAGTTTGTCTGCATGTTAACAACTAAATGGTCCATTTCACATACAATTTGTCTATGTATTAGGAATTTAACGGTCCATTACGAAGAACTAAACCTTTCATTTCATTATTTTCATTAAAAACAGATCTGAGATCCGAGCAACTGCTTTAAAAAATAATTTTTCAAACGCAACCTGTTCTTAAATTGGTAATTACTACACATATACAAATACCTGTACAAAAAACTTAGGTGGTGGAATGTTTCACCAAATAAAGTGATTGAAAATGGAAATGTGCTTTTGTTTCCCTGTTTGTAATGTTGAAACCAGCAATGGGATGTTTGAAATACAAATGCTTTCCCCCAACTTATGAGGAAGGGAAAATAAACTTTCAAGGGTTAAGACCAAAAATCTACCCACAATCACTCAATCTAATACTGAAGCGAAAAGCGACGAGCGTGTCTGACTTTAAACTGAGGATGCTGTCCGTCGCCTCCAAGGGCCCGGGCGAAGGCGCAGCATCTGCGGAAGCCCGGCAGAAGAGAGCACGGCAGCCCCAGCGAGGTCCCGGATCTGCACATTGTTTGCTAGTTTTCAACCGAAGGCACGACCGGGAATGAATCTGGGACCGCCGCTGTAAAGGGCAGAGCGCTCGAGGGGCCGGGCCGGAATCCGTTCCTTCCTAGACAAAACACTGAAGGAGCCCCTTCCTTCAGACCCCAGAGGAGGGCGGTCAGAAAAAAAAAGCGAAGGAACCGGCGGGAGAAGTCTGAAGAATCAATGGTGGAACCACGAGGGGAGGAAAGGATTAAAGGGACTGCAGGCGGAGGAGGGGCTTCTTACCCTGGAAATGCCCTTTACTGTGGATCCTCATGGCTCCGGAGTTCATGGCAGTCGCCCGGTACCTACATGCTGGGTCCGGAGAAAGTGTCGCGCTGGGCGGCCACGAAAGCACGGCTTCCCCAGGCCTGTTGACAGGACGGCCGCCTCTCTCCTTCCGCCGGCTACGGCCTCCACGCAGCAGAGGTGCCGCGTCTGCGGGTCGGGTTTCCGGGGCCGGATCCGGCTCCAAAGCGCGGAGGAGGAAGGCGCAAAGCACAAACGAGTGGGTTGCGGCGGTTGAAGATTTGAAAACGCGTCACGCGGCCGCGGCGCCGATACGCGCGCCCCGCCCCGTCTCACGCCGCGCGCCGTGCCCCGCCTCGCGCTCGCCCCTCGTGCCCGCCTTCTCGCGCCGCGCGCCCCGCCCCCTCACGCCGCTGTGCTTGTGGCGCCTCGCTCCGTCTCCGCAGGATATGTGTTCCCCTCTGCCCCGCTCCCATTCCGATGCCCTCTCAGCCTCTGACCCCGGCTCTCAGTCCGCCGCTTCAGGCCTTGGCGCAGCCACAGAGAGTTGGCGCGGCTCTGTGTTGACCAAACCTAGTGGGTGCAGTTAGCGCTGGAGCCCTGCCCCGCCCATCACCAGGGTTATTTCCGCCTTCTAGGTTTGCCAGGACCGCCGGCCTTCCAGCTGCTTTCTCCCCCAGGTATGCTAATTTTCCACTGGTCGGACGTCTGGGAGGCTGAAGGCGAGGGGCTTCGGCCGATCCCGGACTCAGCTCTGGCCGGGGCCGGAGCCGGGCGGTGGCGGCAGCCGCAGCCCCTGCTCAGCGCGCCCTGGGTCGCACAGCCAGCGGGGTTTTCCCGCGGTCACTGCCGACCCCGCCGGCTGAAGACAGGCCGCAGAGCGACTTGCGGGAGAGAGAGCGGTCCCGAGGGACGTCGGAGGGAGGGTCCGGCCAGGCGGCCCCCGGTCGTGACGGCAGCGACACCCCAGAACGCGTCCAGGTCACTTTGTGTCCTTGGGTAGTTGGCTATTTGCGCTGCCCTGTTGACTTTTATTGTATACAGAACTGTTTTCGTTTAGTTGTGTGTAACTTTATTTCAACAATGAAGGAGTGGAAAGTAACATCTCATTTTTTTTTCTGTAAAACAGATTAAAGATCAAATTAAAATGTTGTGAATATATTTTAATTTTGTAAGTTGGAACATGCCTCGCCAAAAAAAAATCTGTTTCTTCGGGAGGAAGAGGATGTTTTGAACTATTTTGCGTTCCTCTACTCCAGGCCATAATAGGCACTCCTGTAATGGTTGGTTTTTTTTTACCTGGTAGCTCAAGGAAGTCAGAGTGTCACCGTTACAGTTTTGCAGGTAGGTACCTCAAAGAATAGACAAGGGTGGGTTGTGACAATATTAGCTGGAGAACGCAGAGAACACGTTTGCTAAGGGAAATGAGAGTTTGGTTTTAGACAGGTTTATGTTGAAGGCCCTGGGGCAACAATCATGGAACTATGCTTATTAGACAGTTGAAGGTGTTTATGACTCGAGAGAAATGTCTAGGAAAAGTGGACATAGAAAGAGGAAATAGAGTGATTTGATATCTCTCCAATAAAATATTTCTACCTCAAGGTCTGTTGATTTTAATCATGGGGCAGTTCATTAAAGGTTAACAGATCTTGAGTGGTGGAAGGAAGTGTGGTTTAAGTAAACATATTCAATATTGTAATTTCTATGGGAACTTATTTTCAAAATATAAGCTACAGAGAGCACAAAATGTTTATATTAACAGAAAGATTTAAAAAGTTGGGAAGCACTAATATATAATGTAGTTAAAGCTTTGGGAGGAAATGAAATTGCCAAGGAGAGCATGTGAAATGAGAGAACTGATTAAAAGCATGGTTGATGAAATAGTGAAAGAGATGGAGGAAATGCCACAGAATTGGGAAGAGACTGCAAACATTAGAATCATATGGGCTTCACTACTTGGCCTCTGGGTAATTTTGAGCCCCAATTTTAATCTGTTAAAAGGGGGTAATACTTCTCAGGGATGTTGTGAAGGTTAATTGAACATTTTTGAATGCTTAGTACAGTACCTGGCACAGAGGAGAGCTCCTTAAGAGCTCTGTAATTATATCCTAGTGAGCGCTGCACCAGTTCCTTCATCCCCAGGACAGGTAAGATTAATACTTGAAAAATAAGTATTTGATTTTGGCGTTTCAGGTATCATTGATTTCCTTAAGGGTAATTTGACTGGGTGGCGGAGATGAGTACAGTACTAGATAAAAATGATCAGCTTGAAGTTCAGACAGGTTGAGTGTACTCTTTCAAAAAAAAAAAAAAATTGTTATTTTAGGAAAGTATAATGGAGGGAAGACTTGATCTTTGGAAGGTTTAGAGGATGTGGGAAAGATTTAAGCATGCTTCTGTTGAGGAACATTTTTTCAAAAAAGGAAGTCCATTTTATGTTCTTGTGAAAGATGAGTTGTGTGTCTTATTTACTGTGAAGAGGAAGGACAGTAACATAGTTGCACCCTATGCTGTTAGACTCACCCTTGACTGCACTGAAGGTGGTAATTCCGAGCAATAAATAAACAGGAAGTCTGCTTTACTCGATAGTTAGTAATTTTCTAATCTATTATCCGAGGTTAGTTTTTAAAAATATTACTGGAACCTAAATCTTTTAGTAGCCACAGAAAGGACGTGGCTATAGTCAGTAAGGATAGAAACCTCCTTTTTATTGTCCAGTGGTCAGGTCTGTTGGTAAGAGGATGGGGTTTGTCTTAAAGTAGATCTTGAAAATATGCTTGAAAAATTCCTTCAGAGGAAGGGTAGACATTCAAGAAGTGAATGGGGGCGAGGTTATTTATGGTGAGAAACTATGTTCAAGAGTTATATTAGGCAAAATTGGAGAACATTCAGCAGAATCATGATCTAATTAAATGAATATGTGGCTGTGAATCAAGAGAAATGAATTTTATTAATTACCTGCCCTATCCCTAACTAGTTTTATGACCTTGAGCAAATGTTAACCTTTCTGGCAGGGCATAGTGGCTCAAGCCTGTAATCCCAGCACTTTGGGAGGCCGAGGTGGCGGATCACAAGGTCAGGAGATGGAGACCAGCCTGGCTAACATGGTGAAACCCCGGCTCTACTAACAATACAAAAATTAGCTGGGCATGGTGGTGTGCGCCTATAACCCCAGCTACTCAGGAGGCTGAGGCAGGAAAATCACTTGAACCCAGAAGGCGGAGGTTGCAGTGAGCTGAGATCGCGCCATTGCACTCCAGCCTGGGCGACAGAGCGAAACTCCATCTCAAAAAGAAAAAGAAAGTTAACCTTTCTATGCTAGAATTTCCTTATCTATAAATGAAGATAATACTGTTTAGTCTACTCCACAACTTTCTGTGATTATCAGAGATCTAAATCTGATCTTTCAGATTACCTCACACATATCCAAATATAAATTTTTTATTCTAGAATCTAGACAAATTAATTTTATAATACTTACCACTTTTTTTCTTTATTTTGCCTAAGCCTCTTCACCTGGCTTAGCAAGAATTTTTTCCTGTCCATAGCAAACCTAGTTTAGATTCAACCTTTATCTCCTGCTCATTTGGGTCTTGAATAATAATCATTCCTGTTTGATTCATTTGCCAACTATTGATATGTTGTTTTCTGAAATGTGTTCTGGTCTATTTTTATTATTTAATTTGCACATTTCATAGTCTCACTATCCTGGTGAATTGGAGGGCTTAAGGTTATATATAAGGTTAAATTCTTAGTTTTGCAGGCTAAGTGTATGCAAGGATAGGATTGGTTAGTGACTGTGGCACTGAAGTTAATGTCTCAGGTGAATGTGGGCTGGGAAACCAGGGTAAATTCAGCATTATCAGGCCTGTGAACACATCCTAAGTGAAGAATCAAAAATGGAGAGGCCGGGCTAGGTGGCTCACGCCTGTAATACCAGCACTTTTGGAGGCCACGATGGGAGGATCACTTGAGTCCAGGAGTTTGAGACCAGCCTGGGCAACATAGGGAGACCCTGTCTCTACAGAAAATGAAAAAATTAACCCCATTAGACTAGTGCACACCAGTGGTCCCAGCTACTCGGGAGGCTGAGGTGGGAGGATCACTTGAGCCCAGGGATCTAGGCTTCAGTGAGCTATGATTGGCCACTATAATCCAGAGTGAAACCTTGTCTCCAAAAAAAAAAACAAAAAAAACAAAAGGCAAGACAGGAGGATTCAGAATTTGGGAATATATGGTAATGGATGCCTCAAAGCAACATAATTCAGAGGCTACTTGGCACCTCCATCAGCTGTTACAGATAATGAACCAGTTCAGAGGTTATATCTTACATACTGAACTAAATTGTAAATTCCTTTAGGGTGGTATGAGACACATACTAGGCCATGACTATAAAATAATCTATCTACCTGCCTCATTTCCTGCTTTCCTCCTGTTTTGATTGAGCCCTAACAATGTGCTATGCCCAGTGAAGCTTGTTTACTGTTATACTCGTAGAAGTCTTATCGTATAAAATTTCAAACATTTATAATCCACATGCAATAAAGTACAGCCATGTTAAACATTATGTATCTAAATATGAATTTATGTATTCTAATAAATATGTATATCCATGTAGTTACCACTAAAATGAAAATACAAAACATTTTGTCATGTCAGAAGGATGCCTCATTCTTTCCAGTCTCCCTCCTCCCACCAGAAGTAACCAGTCTTCTGATTTTTATTATCATAGAATGGTTTTCTCCGTATTTCAGCATAATATAAATGCAATCATGTAATTTGTATATTTTGGGTTGTAATTATTTTTCATAATGTAATCTTTTTGTGATTCATTTATGCTTTACATGTATCAGTAGTTCATTCTTTTTTATTGCTGAGTAGTAGTTCGTTGTGCGAATATACCACAGTTTATCCATTCATCTGTTAATGGACACTTGGCTTGTTTCTATTTTTCTGGCTGTTATGGATGATGCTGCTATGAACATTCGTACACAAGGTTTTTTTGGGCATGTATTTTTACTTCTTTTAGAATTGCTGAATCATAAGGTAACATAATATTTAACAGTATGAGAAACTATTGACGTTTTTTATTCTCCTTCCAGTAATGTATGAAGCACAGTGTTATTATCACTGGGTGTGAACTGGGATCTCATACAGTTTCAGTTTTTAAAATTCAGGTAAAATTCATATAACATAAAATTTGCCATTGTAACCATTTTGAAGTGTAGAATTCAGTGGCTTCCAGTATATTAACAATGTTGTACAACCATCACCACTATCTAATTCCAGAACATTTTCAACATAGGAAAAAGAAACCTCTACCCATCAAGCACTCATTCTCATTCTTCCTGTCTCCTCAGCCGCTGGCAATCACTCTTTTGCTTTCTGTGCCTATGGATTTGCCTATTCTGGACATTTCATAGAAATAGAATATGTGGGGCTTTTTGTGTCTGGCTTTTATTGAGCATGTTTTCAAGGCTTATCTATTTTGTAGCATATATCAGGTCTTCATTCACTTTTTAGAGATGAATAAAATTCTCTTGTAGGGATATACCATGTTTTGTTTATCCTTTCATCAGTTGATGAACATTTGGTTTCTTTTTATTTTTAGCTATTATGAATAATAATCTCTGAACATTTGTGTACAAGCAAATGTTTGTTAGACTATTATGTTTTCAGT